ATCGGAGAATAGAACACCTCGAGTTTTGCATGGTTGTGGCCATACAGTAAGCCTTTTCCTTTGTTGTTTTTGAAAATTTCAGATTTTTTAACTTTTTGTAAGATTTGGATCGTTGTATTTCATAGAATGATTCTCCAGCTATGCATCTGCCATCTTTTATTGACCAGTGCCTCTTCGATTAGTGGTTAACGTGATGCTGATTCAGACTTTTGTTTCTTCGAAAGAAACTTCCTGAAAGACGTCTTTACTTCTGTTAGCATTTCTCCTAACAGAAGCAAAGATGTCTTTTAGGAAGTTTTTGGTGCCTGTTGAGCATCGCTACTTAAACGGCAGTGCTTTTCTCATTAACTAGTAAAAAAAGGTGTATTTATGCGTTTTTTGCATCTATGCAGTGCAATAAAGCATATTGCCAATGGGTTGCCTGTGTGTATGTGTCTGTACTGATCTTTTATCTCGAGACCTACAAAAGCTACAAGACTGAAATAGAAGAATTTCACTTGAATGTCATGTGTTTGAAGACATTTTATGACGCAGTCTGTGTTTCTTTGGGACCTTGATCTACGTGCATGTTCGAGCCCTTATCCCCAAAATGTACATTACTGCTCACGTAGTTCCAACATGCGGACCCGCGAAAATTTTTTGCAGGCAAGTTGCTAACTTGGGAAACTGAAAAGCTAGAAAGCTGGAATTTTAAGAGAATGTTCCCTGTCTACGTAGGATTTAACGAGTTCAAACCCAACCAAAATGCGCATGGTTCCCATTTACGGATCCGTGATAATTTTTGGCGGATAAGTTGCTAACTTGGAATCCTGAAAAGCTAGAAGGCTGAAATTTTAAGGAAATGTTTTCCCACAGTTCTGGTGTTCAGTCTCAATTCTTTTGTCTAGAAGCATCTGCCGGAAAAAAAAATAGTGTCATTAGTGACAAAAACCTTCGGAGAACTGTGTAAAAAACGCATCTTCGCACCGGTAGTCGGTGAGCTGATCAATTGTTCAAAAATGTTGTTGTGAGAAAAAGAGGCGGAAAGGGAAGAAAAGAATTAGAAAAAAAAGGTGTGAACCGCGAACATGGTAATATAGTATGTTCAGAAATAGCCTATCCATGTTTCACTCCTAAAATATATATGTACAGGTTGGGCATTAGGATGCGGAAGCGTCCGGTTATACAGTGAAAGTTTAGTAAATTTTATATTCTCATTCCACTGCAAGCTGCAGGATCCATTGCAGTTAGTAACTTTTAAGCTTCTACACTCACGTAAATCAAATCCACTAAGGCGCAAGATCTAACATTCCAGATGTAGTTGATAACTTTTAAGCTTCTATACTTATGCAGTTCAGATTCACTAAGCTCCAAGACCCAACATTCCAGATGCAGTTGGTAACTTTTAAGCTTTTACAGTTATACAGTTCAAATCCACTAAGTACCGAAATCCAACATTCCAGGTGTAGTTGATAACTTTTAAGCTTCTATACTTATGCAACTCAGATTCACTGAGCCCTAAGATCCAACATTCCAGGCGCAGTTAGTAACTTTTAAGTCTATACTTTTGCTGTTCAAATTCACTAAACCCCAAGATCGAAAATTCCAGGCGCAGTTAATAAATGGAATTGAGTAGGAAGATTCGACTTAAATATTCCACGTCAAATCTGCTAATGTACGTGTGAGGGCTTAAGAGATAGTGGCTGTTAGAATATGTAACATAAGCCCATATGAGAAATGTTCATCTCTCATGTACTGAGAATATGTAAAAATATTTGTCCGTGTTTCATCCCTTAGCTGTAAACACACACACAACTGATAACTTTTAAGCGTCTAATCTGATTATCGCATGATTATAGCATGAAAGTAATATGAAGAACGTAGAAAAGAAGGCAGGAATAGAACGAACTATGTAGTGCAAAAGGTAGGAATATTTCTGGCGCAGGAGAAATAAGAACGAGAGAGTTAAGACGTTTCGGTCCATGAAGTCATATACGTCTTAGCTCAACACCGCAACTGGACCTCGTCAGTATGACGGTCGCAGTGTTCAGAGATGAGAGGGAGAAGAGGGAATGGAACGGACAAAGAGAGAAGG